GCTTAGCCAGTTGTGAACCGTGACTATCATCATTTGTTTGCATCTCATTACCAATCATAAGAAGATTATAAACAAAATAAAATCATGTAATCGCTTCAAAAATCAGTAAACTGGCGGTCACGGCATTGTCCCAGCACTAATAACAACAAGCCGAGCTCAAATCAAATCGTTTTAAATTCCACTTCATCAATCGTTGCCAGCCCGCACTAATTAATGTGCCTAATGGAGAACAAACATCCGCTGGCAGGGTGTGCAGGATGTATTTATATTGTTTACGTTTAATTGATAACATGCTCTTTACATTCTGGTTTGATATTACATTTTACTTACGTTGAATAAGCATGAGGTATATCGTATTTAAAACACTTTCATACTTACTAAGTACTGCAAGGGTTTGCCTCCTCTTACCAAGCTAATTTAAATCAATCAAATTATTTTTATTAAGTGAGTCAATAAAGTTTTTTTTGTTAATCTGTTTACTTTTTTAAAATTTTCTTTAATGCAAACCTTGTCCTGACAATAAGGTACACAATAAACAAAATAATTATCCAATTTAGTGCAGTCGTTCAAAAGTTATGAGCGTACATTTCCTCGATTTCTCAGTTCAAAATAAAGATTAATTACAATAAAAACAAAAGTTATAGATCATTTGTATGGATACCTTGGTTCGTACTGTGCGGCAACAATATTTTGAATATTCGTATTGTGTGTGGCTCTGTTTGAAACATTAATTTGCTTTAAACAGAACGGCGCGCGGTCGATTGCCTGACTGCCTCATAAGTCAAACTTATTTATTAAACAGTTCCCTATGTGTTTTGCACACGGAAAATTAACCTTTCATATCGAACTGGAAAATTCTGAACTTGTAATTAATCAGTACGGAAAATCGTGTTTGTGTTAGAAATTTGGGATGAAAAGGCCGTATGTCAGTCGAGAAGCTCGGTGTCCTGAACAGATCGAGGCAGTATTGCACTCCGGCCCACCGCCTCCAGCTCTATAAGGCGCAAGTCCGGCCGCATATGGAATACTGTACTCATCTCTATGCAGGGACACCTCAGTACCAGCTTCTCCCTCTGGACCGCATCCAATGAAGAGCAACTCGAATCGTCGATAGCCAAAAGATTTGCGATCGATACTTAGAATTTTAATTGTCATTGCAGCAGCCATTACATTGAATCAGTTGTTTTATCACCGTCAAAACGTGACCAGAAGGCCAATTCTCGCAATAAAAGCTCGGTCAAAATCCAGTTCCGATCAACTCTCAATCTCGCAACTGGTAGGCAACTAATAATAGGTATTTCCGGAGTAAAATAATAAAGTATTACTAAGACTAGCGGTTCATCGATTAAATTTTCGAATACAATACGAAAATTTGGTCGATGAGCAAAAATAAATATATATGTTTAATAGATTACGACAAAAAAACCTTTTATGACAGTTGTGAGATCAAGAGTTGATCTGAACTGAATTGTGACCGAACTTTTATCATGAGTGTAATACAATACTTACAGTATTGTTACATATATATGTTACATAATATTCTGTACATGTGAGCTTATATAATGTGCAACATAGTATCATAACCTGTCTCTCTGGAAGATAAACATATCTCAGCATATCCAACATAATGTGTCTTCATAATATAATTGTACCTAGTATATATTTAAATATGTTTGACTGTGGGAGAATAATGCTTCGGCATAACTGGGCCGGCTCGACCATAGGTATCAATTTGGTTCAGAAATCACTTTTATAAAAGTCAAGTATTATAAAATATATATTGTACCTATATATTGTATACCTATAGATACCGCGTATGCTGCGGTACAAATGGGCCGACTCGAACACAGTTCACGGCTTTATAGAAAACCGGTGATAAATAATTATTTCCTTTCTCTTTACCGAGTAAGTAAAGTCACCGCAGGCCCAACACCCCCTCCCCCTTTACCCCTTTTCTAGGGGGAGGACTCAAAAGGCGGCAAAGCATTAGTGACTCTTGAGCTGTAAGGTGACCATGGGCGGCGGTAATCGCCCATTCTGCTCAGTTGCCCCTTCACCAGATATATTTTTCTGAGAATACTCTCACAAGAACACATCATCGCTTACGCATCAATATAATATATGCAATATCTCCTTCCTACTTCCCCCCTCCCCTATTTCTTTACCAAGTTTTTGTTTCATATTGAACTCGCAATCTTCCCAACACAAAAAAAAAACATGAAAAATAAAAAAAATGTCTGATGAACGGGCAACTGAGCAGGACGGGCAAATACCGCCGCCCATATTCGCCTTACAAAAAAAATCGAACAGATAACTAAATACCATACATATAAATTTACTTACGTTATTCACGCCTAAAAGGTCATTGCAGTACTTACATCTTCATAGACATACACTATATTTTTAGTTCAAACACGGGAGCATTATTCGTATAACAATGGCAGTGGCTTTTTTTCAACCCAATGGATGGCGCTCTCTGGTTGAACTAATGGCTCATTCGTACATAAATAAGAGGTCGAACAAAAGGTTCAAACCTTTTGCCTGAATGCCGAATACGCAGTGAAAATAAAGTAATACCTGTATATGGCCTAGTTTACGAATAATGTTTTTATAATGTTGCTCCGGCAATGGTCACAGTCAGACAGCCTGTGACCACGTCCAGTACAAAAGTACCTATGGGTTTACCTATAACATTATTTTAATAATTTAACTATTTATGTAACATAATATTTATTAATCATTACTTATCGTGGAAAGCAAACGTTCAAAAGTCAGTATGACATACTAATGAACACACATTTCCATGTATCTAACTATAGTTGTGTTGTTGGTAGTGTCTGTAAACGGTAGATTTCTTCGAAATGGTATTATTTTAAAACTAAATGATAGATTTTTGGTTATCATAGGAATTCCAGGTATTATTACAATTTGCCCAACAGCTGGGTCAATCAAAACTATTCTAACTATGGTATTGATTCTAAGAAATTTAAGTCGCGGGTTGCATCAAAAATAATTATTATTGTGAATTGGAGCTTTATAGCCATGACATGAATGTTGAAAGTACAATACAGCTTTAGATCACCTTACGTTTCTATAGAATTGCACCGACCGCAACTAAGTTCCGATTTACAGAAATAATAAAACATTTAGGTATTTAATTAGTTTACATTATCCGCAACTATCACAGTCATAGACATATAAACCAAGTGATGAGTTATTTTTATGTTCCAAAATCCTCATTCGCGTCCAAATAACACGCTGTGAAAGGCAAAGTTTATCTTTATAAAATTGTTTTGATGATGAAATAACTTTTGTTTGTGAAGATTAATATGTCATGATAAATAATAATGCTCATAAATCTGTTTTAAATTTTAAATATTTTTTTTTTAAAAAGATATTTTTATGGCTCATCTTTAAACGATAGGATGAGAAATGATCCTGAACTGTTTTAGATGTAATATAATAGGTCTAATATTAGACCTATTATATTACATCTAAAACAGTTCAGGATCATTTTAATAAGTTTTTACTATTAATGTAGTTTCTAAAATATAATAAATGTTTATAAATGTGGACCTGCCTGAGACTATTTACTAGTCTGTCACTGGGTGAGTGAGGTTACCGCAGCCCAAAGCCCCCCTCCCGCTGACTCAAGCGAGAGGGACTCCAAGGGCGGCACCGCACTTGTGACTTTTTAGTTGCAGGTGTTCATGGGCAGCGGTAGTTGCTTACCATCAGGTGATTTTATAGTATAAGGGGGCAAACGAGCAGACGGCTCACCTGATGGTAAGCAACTACCACCGCCCATGGACACCTGCAACTCAAAAGTCACTTCCGCTCGAGTCAGCGGGAGTGGGGATTTGGATGCAGACTGGAGCAATGACATTAATGATAGAAGGTCAAATTCAGGATTTTGCTTTACTGTTATATCTGCTGTAGTAGAGCTGTATTAAACAAAAGTATGTTGCGCTGTCTAGTACAAAGGTAGAATATGTATCAATTTCGGAGGCTTGCAAAGAGGCAGTATATTTAAGAAACTTGCAATATGAAGTGACCAAAAAATTATATAAAATTACCATGTATAATGACAGTGCGCAGAAACTACTATTATCCCCTGTTTTTCATAATAAAACCAAGCGTATTGATGTCAGGTATCACTATTGTAGAGAAATGATAAATAAAAACATTGTTGGTGTAGATTATTAATGTACATCAGATATGCCTGCAGACTTACTAAGCTTAGGAGCTGTAAAACATTATAAACATTTGAATGCTTTAGGAATTGTTAAAGTGTAGTTATTTTATTTATTGCACTGTTTTTAAGTATTCTATATTTTGAGTGGGAGTGTTGTTGTTATCAAAATATAGAAACTGCTAGCGCCATCTTGTGACAAATATTTTCACCGTACTGTCATTGTCTTTTACAATAAAGATTTTTATTCCGCTCTTGATCTTACAAGACTCACGGTGTTTTATTATAAATTTAATAATTTTATATAATAATTTTCATCCGACCGATTTCATCATTTTCACTGTCAGAAACATATTTACTTTAGCTTTCTGTAATTAGTAAATACAGTTTAACTTTGAGAGCATTTCTCGGATATTATAAAACACCGTTTAAGGAAGAGGAGATCCAGCCGCTGTGGAAACTTACTCTGCTTTTTAGACTTATATTGGTGTAAGAGAGTGTTAATAGTGGAGGGGACAAGCGAGAGAATTTCACCAAAAGACATTCCACTTCAATTCAAGGAAGCCAAGAATTACCAAACACTATATTTTAACATGATGACTTTTAGAATATTGTATCTCCTATATACAGTACTCAACACGTTATTTTTTCAAAGATTGTTACTGTGAAAGACAAGTCAGGAGGAGTTATTCCCTAGTTCTATTACATTGTGAAATAAGAACTAATTTCATAGCTTATTTTATTATATATTTTTTCGTGTTTTGTTGTTTCACAAAAAACCTGAAGAAATACGAAACTGAATAAATTACTATGAACAGTGACAAATATTAGCAGAAATGCATCTACCAACTAAGAAGCCCCTACTTCTGCAGAAGTTATTGCACGTCCAGAAGTAGCAAGCTCTCACAGATATTCGAACATCTTCAGTTAGCATATTGTTGTTTTCTGTAAAAAAAGGAATCAATGTAAGTGAGACAATTTATTTATGACTGTTTTATATTGCAGAAATAATGTATAGAGAAAAACAATCTAGTGGTTTTTCTATATATATTATTATGTAACTACAAGTGTGGGTAACACAGGCGGCGGTAGTTGCTTACCATCAGGTAACGAGCAGACTGTTCACCTGATGGTAAGCAACTACCGTCGCCCATATGGAACTCAGGAGTCACAAGCGCGTTGCCAGCCTTTGAGGAAGGAGTACGCTGTAATTAATATGTACCAGAAAAGTACATATATTACTTACCCATATATTGAAAGTCCTGATACTCTTCTATGACGTCATTAGGGAAAGAGTTGACAGCACCTAGCTGAGCAACGAGAACTGTTCCAAAAAAGACAACCAAAAGCTTCATGTTGCGCTTACTCGATAATACAAAAAGTTAAGATCTGATGATTCTGTTATGCATGATGAAGTAAGGCGGGTTCGATATTTATACTCCCAGGATTTTTTGTTATCGCTGATTGTCTGATAAGTAAATCTTAAAAGTATTAAGGGACAGATAAATACAAATAAAGTTGTTTATCAAGGGGACTCCCTGAAATATAGTAGATACTAATAAATTCTTACAATTTCTTGCATTTCTATATACGTTTACAGCTAAAAAAAATTATTTACCTAAGAGAATGATTAAATAAGGGTCAAATTAGAGCGCAAACGTCTTCCTGTAAAGGTTTGGAATAACAAGACAGTACGCAGCTGTGTTGATTACTACCTATTTCGCTATCTCACCATGCATCTAAGTTTCAGCTACATTTTTTTTTATCTTTCCTGTATAATATGCTGTTAATCCATTTTCCAGGATTTCAGTATCTTTCAGAATTGAAATTATTGTTTGTTGAGAGAAAAGATGACTCACTGTCCATTAATCGAAAAATATTCAAACAATCTTTTTAAATTCTCGAATTATAAGTTAGACTTAGGGCAAGGCTCCTGAAGCCGTCGACTGAGGTCCGACCGGTTTTAAAAATTAAAATGCACTATCAACCTACTGTCTCTCTGAAACATTTTGATCCATCCTAAGGTTACCTGGAAAAGCTGCCACTTGTACTTTACAAATGTATCTGACATTTCTATGTATGATACTACTCTTGTAAAGATTGTGTAAAAATATTTGAAGTTTTGTAAAATTGATAAAGAGTCTTTTAGTTTCAAAACTCATCTTTAAAATCTTCGGCGAATTTTAATGTTAATTATTCTTTTGTTTTTTTTAAGACAAAAAAGGAGTTCTAACCCGATTAATTTGATAAATTCTAACCAATGAAATGTAAGTTAGTGTATGTGCATCACAATGTTTAAGGAATTTCACGTGAATGTGCTATGGATTCCATAGGTACGCATTTAGTTTACCACTGTTGGTTTATTATTTGTAAATTATAAATTAGTCATTTACCACTTACATTGGGACTGTAGGTAAGTCCTTAAGCGTAAATTGCCGAAGAGTCACCTTTGTTATCTTGTCAATTTTGTCAGTAGCTGCTAGATTAAAACCAACAATGTTTTATATCTGTCATATATCAAGATTCCCTCGGAATCCCCCGCCGAAGGCTTATCATGGGCTGTTTTAAATCAACAATAACAATGTAGAAACAATAGAATTTTTTAATGACCAAAGTTAGTACACAGACCTATGATCAAAAGTGTTTTACAAGAGTTTTAGAAATACTCGTAGATTGTTAATTAATTTACACAGTAACCGTTCACCATCATCGTAAAAGTACTTGGATAAATATGTACGTACTTATTTTACGAACAAATAAACAATATTAAAAAACAGATTGTAGAAGAATTACATATAAGGTAGGTAATGTAATGGTAAACTAGCTGGCAGAGCCTGTTTTATAGTCAGCACTTAAATCACTAAATACATACATACTACAGAAAAATTACATCATAGGAAAAATGACCTTGCCCATCACACAATCATTTGCCTTCGTCCGGTAGGAATTTATTTTTTATTTATCTTGATTAAGAAAACCAACAGCATAACAATTAATTTAACAGCCATTCAATGGAATGTAAATATGCCAATAACAGATTTCCCTAAATAACTTACATACATAAAGAAAATTGGTAAACAGATCACGAATTACAAGTAATATTTACGCTATTCAAACATAATTAAATTTTAGTTAACATTACAAAAAATGGTACATAATCGAACCCACAACCTCTAACGCAGTCAGGGTCCTAACCTCAACTAAACTAAATAAGATTATATTAGTACCATGCTATTGAATTTCCCTTGCTCACAATATACAACGTTTTTATATAGTATCTGCTCTTACCCTTGATTTACTCATCGAATTAATAAAACATAAATATCGAACCCACTATAGTCAATCATGCATTACAGCAAACAGTTTCAATTCCTAACTTGTTGTTCTTTCACATAACCCAACATTAAGCTTTTGGTCGTCATTTTCGACACAGTTCTCGTCGCTCAGCTAACAGATGCTGGTGATGTCGACTCTTCCCTCGATAACGTGATGGAGGAGTACGAAGACCTTCAATATATCTTTAAGTATAATCTGTTCATTTCTAGTTGGTACATTTGTTTGTTTCAAACCTGTTTTAGCTACACTAGTTACATATGATTACAGAAGTGAGGCATAAACAAATTACATAAATTAGATAGATATAGATAGTTTAGTATTACATAGATTTTTATTTTACAGAAAACAACAATATTGTAACAGAAGATGTTCCAACAACTCTGCGAAGATGCAACAACGCGGCGTGCCATAACATCTGCGTTAGACTTGGCTTTAGAATTGGTACATGCGTTTCTGCTACTATTCGTCTCTGTACTAAGAAGTACTAAGTCTACAGTCTAAGTCTACACATAGTTTTGTACACAAATACATTTACTTTCAGTTTATTAGTGTATTATTCTAAAATAATAAGTAAATGAAATAAAAAAAGCAGTTTCCTTATTACATGATCTAATAGATTTAACAATATATAATAGAGTACATCTTACTTACTTGTCTTCAAAGTTACGATCTTTGAAAAATTAATGAACAAGTATGTCCTGAAGTACAATGGTATTTTTATAATAGGTAGGTAGGTTATAAACATGAAAACCCGTGGGTATAGTTTGTTTGTAAACATAATTTTTGTAAGTGTCTATTAAAGAGAATATGTATAAATAGGAAAATTTGGTATAAATGTGTCAATACTTTAAAGAAGTAGTTTAAAAAGACTGTATCTGTATAAAGTATGGTCAGTAAATACGTATCTTAATTATGTGCTTACAACAAAAATCAAAAGGAAAACTGTTTCTGAGAGTGTATGATAAAATTGGTTACTGGATGAAGTTGATATTATGATACTGTGACTAGGGCAATGACCTTGCGAAGATTTGGTGGTTTACATAAATTTAACACGACATTTATTCAGATGTTTTTTTTTTATAAAAATAAAAACTGAAGCCCACAACGCTACCTACATTCAGCATTGCTAGTTGTAACAATGACAAATGGAAGCAGATTCACAGGCGCCATGATCGAAGCCAAGAGCTTTACAAATGGCATCGCATGTTGGGTTGCTACAATCTCGCAAAGTCGCAGTCACGTGAAGACTCTGAGTTGCTATGGAGTTGGTTTCTGAAACAAAAACATTAACAATCTTCAGTGTTTTTTCCGAAATCTTTCCGTAAGTAACAACTTTCTGGACTTTCTTGATTACAGATGTGGTATCGAGACATTTACGTATCTTCTTTATCTTTACATAGTATAAAATAAAGCCCCTATTTATCTTGTACGCTTAGATCTTTTAAACTAAGCAAAGCAGTTTTAATGCAGTTTTCACCAATAGAGAGAGTGATTCAAGAGAAAGGTTCACATGCATATTACAGTAGCGAAAATCCGAGAAATTCAAGGGTTTGTCGTAAAAATACATTGCAAACGCTCTAATCCATAAGAGATAGACCAATATAATGTACTACGGAATTGTATATCTTAAGAATATCTACAATAAATTCCGGTATGGTATATGTTTATCTCCTAAGGTTAACCCACAGTAACCATTATTATCTTTTAAATATTACAAAAAAATTATGGGTTATTTACGAATCTATTTTAAACAATACCTTATTATTCCTTTTCCAATTAAATACGTTAGATACGTTAAGCATTTAATATGTATTAAAATTGCTCTGAACATCATGTCGTTAAAATGAATATTTAAAAAAATATCAGAGCCACACTGACACCACATTAGTAGTAAGTATTAGTAGTATCTACATTGCACCCGTGCGAAGCCGGAGAGGATCGCTAGTTTATATATGTACTATATAAGGAAATACTTACCGGTCAATTATAGCCTAGTAAAATAATAGAAAGGCAGAATGTTTATTTGTGAGGTACATAGTGAGCACATAGTGAGTATCAGTGAACAATATATGAACAATAAGGAAAACTAAGTCCAAATTTACTCGATTGCTTATAGATATTTTATTAATAAGACATATGACTATATTTCTTCCCTGAGAAAGAAAAATAACATTAATGGAAATAAAGCCGCAAGCCGCAACCAAAGTTCAGGTCTTACAAAACTTTCCAACCCCTAAAACTGTTAAAGAACTAAGAAGATTCCTTGGAATGCTAAATTTCTACCGACGTTTTATACCAGCTACTTGAAAGGTCCGAAGATTAAAGGAAAGCACCCAGTTGTTATGACAGAGTATGACTACTGGTAGCTTTCGAAAAATGTAATCATAGTTTCTCTGAAGGCGCACTTCTAGCACATGACGGACGCCTCAGACAAAGCAATTGGAGCAGTTTTACAACAACGCAATAGTGAAGAATGGCAGTCACTCGCATTATTTTCGAAGAAGTTGAGCTTCACAAAGAAAGTATAGCCCCTACGACTGCGATCTTATGGTTATTTATGAGGCTATACGATACTTCCAGTTTATGGTTGAAGCTCGAGTTTTTTTTTTCCTTAGTACGGACCATAAACCACTAACGTTTGCATGTGCCACTCATATTTAGACTTCATCAGCCAATTTACAACTGATATAAGGTTTGTAGCCGGGAGGGATAACATTCTAGCTGATACTTTATCACGTGTCAGGGCAGTAAATCAAACATTGGACTATAGATCCTTGGCTAGGGAGCAGAAAACTGATGTTGAACTTCAAGATCTGCTGCAAAACCGGTCTAGTCCCAAGCTGTAAAAAGTAGTACTGCCAGACTCGAAAAAATAAGTATATACCATTCATAACTAAGTCATTTCTCAGGCAAGTCTTCGATGCCCTCCACAACCTGAGTCACCCGAGGGCAAAAGGAACAGTCCGCTTAGTAACCCAAAGGTTTTTCTAGCCTGGAGTAAGGTGAGACTGTCTTCGTTTGGCCAAGGAATGTCAACCATGTCAGAGAAGCAAGGTGTCCAGACACACAAAGACACCTCTAAGGTCATCCCCAGCACCATCTGCACGCTTCAGATACATACATTTAGACCTAGTAGGTCCATTACCGTTGTCTACAGGCTTTAGGTATTGCCTTACCGTCATCGACCACGTGACCCGATGGCCTGCAGCGTACCCTCTCGAGGACATCACGGCAGCAACTTGTACAGGCACCCTGAAATTTAGTTTAGCTGTCCTGATCACATAACCACCGATAAAAAAAAAAAAAAAAAAAAAAAAAAAAAAAAAAAAAAAAAAACCACCGATAGTGGCCGGCAGTTCACGTCGCAAATTTTCAAGAACCTCACTATGGTCTAGTAGAAAGGCTACACTGACAGCTCAAGGCCGCTATTATATGCTACGCCACCTCCAGCTGGACCGAGGTTTTACCATGGGTGCTTCTTGGCATCCGCAGGGCATGGAAGGAGGATACTCAGGCTTCAAAAGCAGAACTAGTCTATGGCGAGACACTACGCTTACCTGGACAGTTCTTCAGCAGCACCACCAATGAAGCGGTAGACCTGAGCAGACTGCTCAGTAGACTTCGTTCGCACATGAATAAGCTAACACCACAACCCAAGTCTTGGCACAGTAGTTCTAGTCGTCCATTCTACGTACCCAAAAACCTGGAGACAGCTACGCACGTATAAGGTTCTGCAACGTAACTCTAAATATCACGACATCAAGGTGAAGGGGAAGACGCAAAGAGTTATAACAGATCGTCTCAAACCTGCATTTGTCACAAATGAGACACCGACAGTCACCACAGGTAGCGAAGAAGCAAAGGACCAACCCGTCTTGAAGAAGACCAGAAGTGGGCGCACAGTCAGATTTCCAGACTACTATCGTCCGTAGTCACGGTCTCACCGGGGGAGTGGTTTGGCGAGCAGGGGAGTAACCCCTATGCGTTAGGACCTAGCACAACATCATACGATCTCCACGGGTCTCCACATATAGGGGATTAGTATAGTAAGCTCTGCCTACCGCAGGGTGGCCGCCCAATTACTACCAGCGCGCGCGCAATATGGTCGACGCACATCTTTTGTTCTACGGCCTATGCGGTAAAAGGTTCGATTCTGGCACTTTCTGAACGATGGGTTCAGAAAGTGCCAGGACCGAACCTTTTCTCTGTTTACTATTATTAATTATTTTCGTGCGCAAATACTGTGTCGTCTTGGTACAAAATAAAGAATTGGTAACTTTGTTGCTCAAGTCCTTTAATTGTTAAAATCAAGCCAATGGTGCTAATTCTGTTGTTCGAAAACTCTCTAAACTAAACTAAAAATCATTAAAATTTAGTTTAGAACTGTCAAGTACTACGTTTTCAGAACCAGAAACGTTATTGGGACTAAATTTTTTTTTGGTGAATTTTAGTTCAGTTTGGAGAATTTTCGAACAACAGAATTAGAACCAATAACTAGCAAATATTCTCCGCATCGCTTTTATTATTATAATATGTATCAAATTTATTATAAACAAGTGAATTAGGATAAACAGCTTATAATAGTAGAGTGGTGCCGATGTTCGACTGCCCTGAAATAGGTGTGAGTTCGATTCCAACCTAGTTCACAACACCACCTTAACTTCTTAGCATTATAGCTTGTATGTAATTAGAGATCACGTACATGAACCTGGAAGTATTATAAATTTATCAATTAAAGAACTTACCCAGACTTTTATGTTTTTCAGACTCTTCTAAAAGATCTCTGAGCGTATATCTGACCGCAGCACCTTTTGCCAGATGTGCGATGATGATAAGTGCAAAAAGAAAAGTTAAAAGCTTCATTATTGGGTTGTTAACCTTCACAGTACGAGATCAAGTTACGAACTAAAGCAGACTAACAACAACAAAAGATTGACTTGACTAACTCCACATACTTCTCTGCATACTCTTATCACAGTTCAATACTTATACATCTATTCCACGTAATAACAACAATGTTCCACATAGTTTCACAACAAGCCAAAATAGACTTTAGGAAGATCAAATACAGTGGCTTCTAAAATAACACCATAATCAAAACTCGTTTGTTATTAAATACTGCGGTTCAAGCGATAAAAGAAAAAAGTTATTGTAGTATAGGTATTTAAAATTAAATACAGAATGCTTATTATCAAATACGTGAACTACTTTTTTAAATACTCTAACACGATTATTAGTTATTAAACCATTAAGATTTAATAACATTAATTTGCCTTGATAATGATGTAGCTGCAGTTTGTAAAATAAGTACTTTGCGTGTTATTGAATATGTTTAGGTGTAAACTATAAATATACTTTCATATTTAGTATTGAAAATTAGAACTAGATGGATAGATGCGTAATTTTGAATCGCGATTTGAACATTTTTGTGGAGTCATGATATTGGCTAATAAACCAGTCGTCAGAACGGTAGTTAGTATTATTATTCCTTGTAGTTGATGATTTGATAACAAAAAATTCTGAGAGTTTAACGACTTTAAAAAACGAATACCTAAGTGAGAATCTGTGGCGCGAATCTGTATCGGTCAAATATAAAAAAAAAAACGGAAGAATGTAGAGTTTGAATGAAATATAGCATACATAGAAAATTAAACTTCGCTAACATGCATAAAACAGACACAAAGAACGCCCAGACCCAGAACAGCAATTTGTGGATCACACAAAGTGTACTTGCCTATGTGAGGATCGAACCGTCATAGCAATAGAAAGCGGCGAAATGACCGCTTAAACCACTAGGCCATCCGTGCAAAATTTGTAAGGTTTACGTGTGTAATATATATAAAAACGTCAAAAGATAAGGGGTAGTTGATGATGTATAAAATTATAAGAACGTGTAATATATAAATATATAAACGTTAATTTAAGTGTAAGCTTCAAAAACTCAAAAAGTTCTGAATCGATTGAGACAACAAACCAAATTTAAATATTGTTTTTATCTATTTTTCACGTCAGTTATGTTCCTCATTTCTCATTAATGCAACCACCAATGTACCACAGCGAAGCGTGGTAGCAGGCTGTACCCTAGTGGTTTATAAATATGCTAATTGTGTCTGTTTCCCTTCTTTAATAAACACTCCTGCATAATCAGATAGAAAAGTAAAAGGAACTGATGCAGGGATGTGAAAAGTAATCACGTACTTGATACGTTAAACCGTTGGGGAAAACGAGTTCTACAGTGGAGACCGCGTCTCGGCAAACGTAGTGTAGGACGCCCACAGGCCAGGTGCAGTGACGATTTGCACAAGATGGCTGGCAGGAGCTGGTATGCGAGAAGACCAAAATCGCAATGGGAGAGACCTATGTCCAGCAGTGGACTGCGATAGGCTGATGATGATGATGATGATACATTCAAATTCACACACACTTCTTGAGGTGTAGAAAGTATAAAAAAGCAACGTAAGCAAAATAAAGCAAAAAATATTTAAATTATTATTATTCATCTCGTACCTCTGAGAGTCAGTTGCCATTCGAACATATGTGCAATCGTTACGCTTAGTTGGAGCCCTAAAAAGCCCGTTCGTCCTTTCGACAAAACTTCGATATCGCCTAGTAGTTGAATTGTAGAGGTCTGATGGGAGACGCTCCGCGTAAAAAATCAAAGTTCAGCTGTATCGTAGTAGCAAGCTGGTTTGGGAAAAGGGCTCGAAGCAGTAGAATTATAATTAATATAAGGATGGTGTAAACGTACGCATGATGTGATGGAAAAGTGTATCATCCAAATCTGTCATGAAATCAATTGAGAATGAAACTGCTTCTGCCAAACAGGACGTGCTTAATTTTATATAATTTAGATATAAATCAAAACCGTTTTAAATAATTTAAGAATACACCGGGAAGTATAGTAATACAGACATGTATATATAATTTATAAATATTTTTTGCTTTTAACCTATCAGCTACTGGCCTAATTGATTACAACACAAAGGTGACTAAGATGTTGTGTGACTAAGATAATAATAATAAGTTAATACTCACAAAATATACAAGTTGCTACGTTTACAATTATAACACATTCACTTCAAATACCGTAAAAGCTAAACACGGGGCATATATACACCTACTGACCTATAAGTTAGTATTTTTTATTAGTTAATTAGTTGTTTTTTTGCAATGTTGAGGTTTTCATTCCCTTTTAAAACTGGTTTACTGCAATATTCATGTTAAAGACTTACTTTTAACAGTCAATTGGAGTTAATCAATAATAGTAATAACCACACACATCTCATACACGGCTGTCTGATCCCAAACCAGGCAGAGTGCTATGGTAACCAGACTGCTGATAAACATACTTATATATACATTAATTATCTCTTAATTTTCAAAGTTTTAAATTTCTAACGCATAGGTTTTAGTTCATTTGTTGTACGCAAAGTTACCGTCTAATCGTCAAGTTCTTGCAGTATTTTTTTTAACATTCGTGAAGTTAAATTGACTGTTAGTGAAAGCGCTAATCTCATCATTCGGGAGTGTATTATATTTTTTTTAAAAGCTAGAATCCCTACCAGGGCTATAGCTAACTGTGTAAAAAAACTTGTGGATCTTCACCATGCTTGCAGGGAGTTGCAAAAAAAAAATCTAAAAACATACAGATATTTATAAGCGCCGTGAGGAAGACTTTAAAAACAATGCATATAATTTGTTTGATATAGCACACACTGATGCTTTTGAATGGATTAAATTTGAAGAAAATTAAATATTTTTACAAAAACAAAGAGAACCAGGCCATCCAGGGTGTTTAGCGGGTGTAGAGAAAAAGTTACCAAAAAAAGGAGATAGGCCAAGACAAAGAAAATTAAATGAATAGAATAAAGATATGTTTTGGCGGTTTATCGTCATCTCTTACTACGCAGGATTCTATACAAACGCAAGGTCATCATGATCAAATTACCAGCTCTGATGAAACCCTTGCCATCCACCTCTCAAATAGGAAGTTCTGAAACTACTACAAAAACAGGGAGGGAAAGACTTTATCACGCCTAAGTTAGTTGCAGCTTTAGATTAAGTTCAATTAAGCAAAAGGGATTCTGTCTATATAAAATCACAATCACATATAATAAATCATATGATATATAAAATATATCATCACACCTGTGACAAAACAACTGCGACTTAATTATAACGCTAGCGCAAGACTGGCAAAAAGTCTTCGATAAAACAATTTTGATTGATTTTAATACCATTTATCTTTGTCTATTACGAACTCAAAATCATATGTAAAATGCTTTTATATATTGTAGTAGAAGCACTAGATATTAGCTGTGATGACTAAACAAATCGTCCATTCAACGCTTTCGCACACAGAGTCGAAAAGAACGAGCGGAATCTCAGATTTTCAGAATAATATGCCTGAAATTGAGACCGTTCACTGGGATGGGAAACTATTACCTGGACTTGACATAAGAAGTTCTAAAGATGCCAATTCTAATTTCATTTGGAGAAAAGGAACACCTTCTGACTGTACCCAAACTGGAGAGCTTTTCCAGCCAGGATCAAGCTAAAACTGTGTTGAACGCTCTTTATGACTGGAAACTCGATGACAAAGTACAAATAATGTGATGTGACACAACTGCGTCTAATACAGGGCGATTGAAAGGAGCTTGTGTACTTTAGGAACAAAAACTAGTCAAGGAATTACTACTCTTTGCTTTCTGCCATCACGTTTACGAACTGATTTTAAAATGTGTGTTCGAAACAGAAACCTACCAAGTCACAAGTAGCTCTGATATCCCGAAAATATTAATAGCCGCTTCCAAAGATTGTTCATTTGCGATATCCCTATAAACATGACTGACTTTTCGCATTCTACTAAGTCGAAGTGAACGAGTTTCAGGTGTTTTGTTTAATAAGCGATCTTGAATCAATCCGAATCGGTTTGCACGTTGCTCCTCCGTCTCATTAGATAGACGATCGTGGATTAAGCTGAGACGGTTTGCACGTTGCTCCTCCGTCTCATTCGATAGACGATCGCTGATCAAGTCGAGACGGTGACTACGTTTTTCGATATTTTCCCTCTAAAGCCGCATTTTCGAAAGTCTATTTGTCTTCGCAAGTCTCTTCTGAAATTAATCTCCAGGTAGATTGCCTCTGTTGAGATTGGCGTTTCTCCCTGACTTCGTTTGTTTCATTCAAACGGCGGTGTCTCATAATTATGAGCAGCACGTTTATTAGGTCTACCCATATTCAGACAAATTAGTTAGTGTACTTCAGATTCACTAAAAAAAAAAACAATAAATAAAAAATTTAACAAAAAAAAACGACTTCAAAAAACACTATTCCAAAACAAATTAATATGCACTAAAAAGTAAACTAAAAAATGCGTATTCTTCTACAACTTAATAATCAACTTACTTTTTCTACTCATCAATATGTAGGTACGATCTATGTGTGTGTTTACCACGCTAGAAGGTAGGTAGGTACCTACCCACTTCAAATCTAACTCAACATATACCTATGAATAACAAACAACGATCAAAATATTTTTTATAGTTCTCCTAAATAAAATGAAATGAAAAATATTAGACAACTTAAAAGTAAATTAAATTATTACGATAATATAATGTTGTTACAATTATTGTTATTTTTGGAGTCGGTGTCTGCCATGATAACAAACCTACCTTAACTAAGTACATATATACATAGTCATAAGTCCTATTTGCGTATGTATGTATATACATACACACGCAAATAGATACTGATAACAATGTTATATTAAAATTAAAATAAATCATGAGCAAGTTGATTTTGCCCGTTATTTGACCAGATACTGCTTTACTTTTACTTTAAAGGAAAAAGTATCCATCCTG